AACGGTTTATTCTAGAACACATCTTGCAAGCGGATCCCCACTGGGAAACACACTACCTGGGTTAGATTTCAAACTGGATAATAAGGTACAATATAGGTAATGGGTGACCCTAGAATGTCTTAGTAGAAGTAGAGCCATCGATTTTTAAAATTAAACTTATTGGAGTAACTCCTATTAGTAACATTATATAAATTTCAGGTGTAAAACTTTATAATACAACATCTCTATACTCCATTATGTGATCACCACCCAAAGTGTAAAAGAAAATTGGACTAAGCAGTCTTGAAAAGATATTTTCCATTGCTTCTTTCTGCAGCCTGGAGCTTACTTTTGACTCTTAGGGATAAGACTTAGATGGTTCCAAAACCCTGTCATAACAAAGAAAGTAAAGTGAAAAACACTCACTGAAGTGTTTGTTGGTTTTAATTGGAAGTAGTGAGTGCTTTGTGCTATTTTCTATTTTATTATCCAAGCCAGCCTCAACATACTCATTTATTTTCTAGTGATTTCTAAATCTGTTATCTAACAGGTTTGTGGCTGCTTTTCTAGTTTCTTAGCCTAGACTTTCATTCAAATCACTGCAAATCCCTAACTTTAAAACTCTGTTTTAGGGACCAAAGCATACCGAGCTATATTTTTCTTCTTATTTTCTTCAAAGCCTAATTGGTGCTTTAGTTTCATTACTTGCACTAAGATAACATGCATTGAGACTTTTGGTAGGATAATTGGAAGCATTCAATTCGGTCTGTCACATACATCCTTGTGCTGCAAGCTCTCCCACCGGTACTACACTGCTATTTATGAAACTGTTTGGTGAGTGACCATAGCAGATCATGCAGACACCCTTAGAAAGTCTCATATCAAAGATGCTGCTGTTTACTAACAAAAGGTAAAAAAAAAAATAGAGAACTCAAGATTCAGTTTGAAACCAAAATTTAAGTCCCTATACACCTATGATTAGAATTCTGGAATCTCTTGTCCATTATCACTCTCCTAGTGCTGTCAATTTAGAAATATTTAACATTAGAAAACTAAAAGTTTAAATGCCTCATCAAAGAGACTGGGTGTTTGGGTCATTTCACCCCTTCTGAAGACAGGAAAAGGTCTCACCCAGTCTCCATTACAAGTGGAAGAAATGAATTGCATTTTTTTTTCTTCAGCAATGACCACAGCCTGGGTGACAAATAAGGAAATGCAGGAATACCGATATACAAAGAAGTTACACTTTTGAGCATCCAGTGGAGCCCACTAGACATGCTTCTGTTATATAAGATTGAAATACAAGTCATTTGCCATACTAAGAAGCCTCTAAAAAATTTAAATGTTTTTAGAAAAAAATCTTAGCAAACTGACAAACCTTCTTTCTCCTCCATTCTTTCTTCAAACTTCCCTTTCCCTCTCTTCACCCTCCAGACCATACACACTCGCCCCTACACACACACACACACACACACACACACACACACACACACACACACACATTCAATTACACATATACTTAATCTATGGACGAAGTAAACCAGAATTCCAATGAATGAATCCTCAGCTTTCAATGTAAAATATTTAAGAGATACCTCACCATCACTAATTCTACAAAACTTCTGTCAACAGCAAAGACATCCTTCACTTTTCCTCTTCAAATTTGTGTACAAAGCCACAAAATCCATTTAACTTATTTCCTCATCAGGGTACTGCTAAATAATGATAGACTAATACAATCTGGGCAAGATTATCTCTGTAATAGTAAAGGTTAACCTTCAGTTTTCCAGATAATGCTCCATTCCTTTTACCTTCCTTCCTTAATGGCATTTAAAGTCACAATGTTGATTTCTAGAGCCAACAATGCTCAGGTGTGTCCACAATTGCACGCTAATGCAAAAGATAAGCCCAAATCAGAACCAAACTTTGAGAGCTCAAGAGTAAATCTACATATAAATTATGGCAGGTCTAGCATAGAAGGAGGAGAAAGGGAATACTAAGAAGAGTACAAAGTAGAAACACTTGTATTGTTTGCAGCAAAATATAGTGGTTGTTCTTAGCTCCCCACCTAGACTAAGACCTTTGTAAGGGAAGCATCTACCTCTTATATTTATTTGGGATCCTCATGGTACCTGTCGCACAACTGAGCATACAGTAGAAACAATGCTGATCAATTTGTTCTAATACCAAGGTTATAAACTTCAAAGTGTGATGGAGTTCTGTGAGGGAAGTTCTGACTCCCCTAAAATGGCATTGCTAGTTAGCCCTAAAACTGTACTGCAGCTAATGAAAGGAACAGAATGGGTTTATCACAAGGTATATCCGCAGAGGAACCAATGTATACTGATCTTTGGTTCCAATATGGAAGAGTAAGAATGTAATATATGTTCAGGAAAGAGATGTTATCCTGATTTGAAATGATTTGTTTATTTGGCTGTCTCTAGGTAAGCTCCCTGGAGACAAAGATCAAGTGTTTTATTTTTATATCCTAGGCAAGTAGTACAGTGCCTGGCATATTACTATATAAGTATGCAATAAATGCTACTAGGTTGAATTAATAAAAATGGTTTAATGAAATAACAATGGTTTCATGAAAAAATAAGTGTCATAAGATCTAATAGAGACTTCCATAGAATCTTATATTTATCACATTGTAGTACTTATCACTCTGTAATAAGGGTTTGTTTCTTAAATTAATCCATTAATTAATAAAGAAAATGTAAATAAATACATCAGTGTATTACTATCCTAGGAAAGGCGAATATCCCATTTTAACCAATAGTAGCACTTATCACTCCATGCAAATCACCTATTTGTTTGCATGCCTCCCCAATATGAATGTGCATTCCTTGATATCAGAGACCATCTTCTTTATTTCTCAAACACTGGACCCTAGAGAAGACCCTTACAGGGAGTACACACTCAAAAAATATTAGTTGTATTTATAAATCAAACATTCCTACTCATCTATAGAGTTCACTGTACCTCAAGTATTCTACCTAATCCATATTGAGGGGCCTCTAGTATGAGAAGAAAAAGAGAAGTGCCATTTTCCTTATGTGGGACTTTGTGACATATTCAGGTTAAATTGACTAATTCATGCATGGCTGTATGTGGGTCTATCCCCTTTCAGAATGGGTTTGTCATATGTTAGAAATATACACTTAACTGCACTGTGTTTAGTACACACTGTCTTGGCCCTGACTAGCCCTAGATACTATATCTATGTGATTTTGTTAAATAAGGAGAACATCTAGCTTTATAGTCAGGGTTAGGATCATAATTCAGATTTTCAATGGCTTTTCTAAATAATTAGAGCAATACTTTGTTTAATCCTGCCATAGGATAATTTTAGAAAGAACACCAAGACTTTAGGTAAACCATGCAGACATTGTCATATGTCTCCTGCCCCTTCCACGTATCTCATAGACATCTAGGCTCACATTTCTCTAGAACCTTGAATTGATTGCATAAGTAATTACCAAGCCCTCAGGATTCTCTCTTTTGTACATCTCCACAAGCTATAACAGCAGCACTCAAACCCATAACTTTTTTACCTCTATTGCTTATATATATCCAATATCAATACTCTAACCACACCACCTTGTAGGTATTACCTATATAGAACCAGCCTAAATTCCTCTTTGGTTACAAGTGCCTAGGGAGTCACACTTAGTTGTACAGACTATTGCAACAGTGATTCTCCAATTATCGTCCTATTTAAAAGACACCTATGTGTCAGATCCTTTACATTGTGCAACATCATATTTTCCATGGACCAACCTTGTGTGGTAGATGTGCCCATTTTGTAGATGAGAAAACAGAGACTCAGAGGGATTCCATAGCAAGAGGTGTCCCCCATATTCAAAATCATGGTCTATCTTATTCCATTCAAAGCACCATCTCTCCCTCTCTATTGCAACCATTTTGTATGCATCATAGCCTAGGTATGTCAGGCTGAATTATTTCTGAAGCAGGAAGGTGTCACTGAAAGAACATTCACAGAGCTGCTCTGTGAGTCTGAACAAATTCCATAACATCACTGGATCTCCATTTTATCATCTATTGAAGGGCAATGTATCAAGACCCTAATTGTAAGAATTAAAGGAGACAGTGGTTGAGAAGGTGCTTTATTAAATGTGGAAGTACCCTCCAAGTGTGCAGTATTCCAAGTATGCAGTATGGTGTTGCATTAGTGGCCTGGAAGAGGGCATATGCCTCCCAGTGCATCAAATTTTCAACCAAAGAGGGACTTAAGCAATTCATAGAAAAATAAAATCAACTTTAGAACTGTATTTATAGTTTTTCACCCAGTCACACACCCACCATCATCCACATTTTCAGCCTCTTTCCCTGAGATATTTCTATAGATGTCAAACATTAGACCATATAGTGTTTTTTAAAGAATGCTTCCATTTTAAAACATTCATTCTCAGTAAAGATAAACAGCTAATTCAAATGCATGGTTAATCCCTGAAATTTTCATTATTAATGACAGTTTTAAGCTCCTCGTTTTTCAAACATCACCATAAGACCTACTAAGAAATGACAAAGTGGCTTTTTAAATTTTTTGCTAGCCTTCTTTTTACCATCCCATCCATATTTTTGGCAAAGCAAGCATATGACCAAAGAAGGGGGCTGAATCACCCTTACCCTGGGAAATTGGTTTCTAGCATTTCATTGTTAATCCGTCTTTAACACTACTTGACTCTTTCTCTGCCACTTTAACTAGCTGGCAAACATGCCCTATTTGAAACAGGTGGAGCAAACTCATATTATGCCAGAATACTAGGTATTTCAAAGGTGCAGCCCCCTTGAGTTCCCACTCCCAAAACCCACCCCTATAAAGGCCCAATATGTTGAGTTACCCTTTGTCCCAAGAAACACTGGTAGCAGACCTTGATTATGGAAATGGGCTTAGGCAGAGAAGCCCTTTCTATTCCTGCCAGAGAAGGTGCCAGTGTAGGGACCTATGGGAGAAACTTTGGGTAAACCTCACAGTGCCATTTAGATGCACTCACCTCAGGCAGAGGCACACCATTGATGATCAGGTCTGGCTGCTGGGGGCCCTGGCTGTTGAAAGAGTGATGATAGATGTGGTTGGCACTGGTATTGCGGGTATTCTGGTTCTCCACATTCAGGAAAGTGCTCTCAGAGCGGCGGCAGCCCAGGGGCAGTGTCTGCTGGTGGTAGTCGAAATAGTTGAGGGACGAGGTCAGGGAGGAGCAACTGACAACGTTCATCTTGTCTGTCTCCTCCACATCACGGGGTACAAGGCGAATGTCATTCTTACTGATTTTTTTCTTCTTGCTTGATTTCTTTTGATGCCCATAGGAGTACTCAGCGATTCTATGTGACAGAAAAGGCAGGATGTATCGCTAACGCCCTCCCAAACCATGCATTGATTAATAAACATTAAGCACCCCAGAAGTTGCACCCATCTCTGCTCCAGCTTCTTATTTGGGTGCATTACATCATCGGGTTCCTCCCTGTGCTCTTTACATTGGAAAACAAGCTGAGGGCCATAAAGTTTTCTTATTAAAAATAATAACTGCCCACACCCCCTCCCCCCGCAAAAAAATTTTCTGTACTTTGGATTTGGAATTTTTTCATTGAGAGTGGCCATTTAGCAAGGATGGGGGGAATGGGAAAGTTGAAGCTATGGGAGCAAAAGCATGAAAATGCTCAAATCTGGAGCTTCCCTGGAAGCCAAAGTCACTCCTGGGTGAATGAAGAAGCAAGTCTTAATTAAACTGAAAAAGAGGTAGAAGGAAATAAAAAATAACCCTCTTTCCAGTTCCTCCAAACATTTTCCATGTGGCCAAGACCCTCAATCAGGTTCCTCTATGATTGACCTGATGAGTTTAGGACTGGGGTAGGAAAACAGACCCTGTGTTAACACATTCTTGGCTCCTCTCTTCCACACCCTCCTTCCCTTGGCCATAGCCCTGCTCCTTTCCACTCCCCTCCCCACCCCACCTCTCCAGGCGAAATCTGATAGCCAAACCCATTTGAATGAGGGGAAATGCCTCTTTACCTCTTTCCCCTTAGGCTCACTTTCTCCTCAGCCTTTTTGTCTTGCTCCTCGCTAATGGGAGAAATTGAGATGCAATGCTGACACTTGCTGTTTTGTCCTTTTATAAAACAGCCCAGGAGACAAGTGATGGTTAAACAATTACTGCAAAGGAATTTAAAGGTTAGTGCATTCAGCATCCTTCTCCATTCAGGTGTACCTACAAGCAGCTGTGCTGCAACTGGAACATAAAGAGCTAAATTTAATTAACACTGACACAGACCCAGCAACGTGCACCAAAGACACCAAGCATTAAGACTTTTCAAAAGAAATACATTAAAATGTAGCAAAATTATCAAAGTCACTTATTGTTTTGCACACAATGATTCAGCCTATTGTTGGAAATTCAATTTCTGTGCAATAATCAGCAAAATAATAGGGTTAATAAATAATACAGGTTGATCTTTGCAAGGGAAAGACGGTGTCTGTATTTTCACTGGACAAAGCTGATTGTCTGAATACAAAAAGAGAGCCCAATTCAAGTAGTAATTGCAGATCATCTCACAAGTCTCATAAACGGTGCATTTGAGGAGAAGGCTCTGCAGATGCTGAGAACAAGAAACCTCTGCCTAATACATGGAAAGACAAGCTCTTCAACTTTTGTTTTCTAAAAAGTCTGAGCACATAGGGAGATTACATGTCTCCAGAGGCAAATTCTTGCTCTGTCCCTGTGATTTTCAAGAGTTAAGCAGTTGTGTTCCCCTCACCCTTTGGATCAGTATTTAAGCTGGCTTGCAGTGATAGCAAGCTGATGCTACTGGGGTTTGGGAGCAGATAAAATCCCCAAAACCCCAGGATGAGGGTTGATTTTCTTTTCTAATCTGTTTACTAAATCAATGGTAAGTTCTAATCATTTTGTTTACCCATGATGGGTAAGTTTGGCAATGCCTTGCCCAATTATTTAGCTGAGGCATTCGTTGGGCAGCCTTGTCTGTATTGAGCAATTATTTAATTAAACTGTACTTGATTAATCCCAAACCATCACAGGGAACAGTGGTCTTTACAAAATTCACATGTGGGTGAAGTTGGAGAGCACTGAGACTTTTTTTTTTTTCCCAATTCAAATGCTCTCCTCCCTGTTTAGTGATTTTCCTGGCAACCTCTAGGAAAGAACTCTCACTTCTAGCCATACATCACCAAGAAGTGGCAAAGCCTTCAATATCTTTATCACAAACTGATTTCTTTTTCATCAAGGAAAGGGTCCTATGCATTTACTTTATGCTCAGAAAATGACTTAAAAAGAGCCTCCTTTATCATTATTTCTATATAAATAACATTTTATAGACCCTGCATTTTTCCCCTATAAAAATCACCACTGGCCCTTGCAGGTTTCAAAGGTAGAAGAGCAATATTAATTTCCATGTCTCCCATCTGAAATGACAGAGCTGAAAAAAAGAAAAGTCATGGCCATTTCAGTAGTAACAGGATTAAAGCATTTATGAGGCATTGCAGCTGCTCTTTTGTGGCACCTGATTGATATTCATGTGTGGTTAGCATTTGTCTACTAACTTGTGTAACGCAGAGAATAGTAAAAGGGAAACAATAATTGCATGGCTGTTACATATTCAGGGGACGCTAATTCACAGAAGTGTGCATTTCAGATCATGTAAAATACAAATCAGACCTATTTTGACTGATTAGCATGCAAGCACAGATGGCACAAAAGACACACTGGGTGTGTAGGTGTGTTGAAAGCGCACATACACCTTGGTTAGAAATAGCAATATCATTCATTTTCAGAAAACGAAACAATTTTTTCAACCATTTCGATGAGACACTGCTGGAAAAAATTACATGTATTATCCTAAATTGGATTCTATAAATACTTAGATTTTTTCCTACCCAATTGTAAGGAAAGGCCTTCTAATGTGCTTATTACAAAATATTAAAAAAAAAAACAACAGTATGTGTTATTCCAATTTCCATATTTCTTCTCTCTCTCTCTCTCTCTCTCTCTCTCTCTCTCTCTCTCTCTCTCTCTCTCTCTCTCTATCTCTCTCATACACATACACACACACATCCTGATCACACTTCAAAGGAGGCTGAAACATAATAGTCCATAGTGACATCCACTGGTAGGAAGCAGATCTTAATACAACACATTAGAGGAAAGCACCATCAACTCCAGAAGTTTGCTATTTTTTACAAAAACATCTGGATGCAAAGTCCTGTCCTTCCTTGGAATGTTTGGCCTATACCCCACCAACCAACCAGATATTTGAAAACATACACATGACTACTAGACTTTCACTTTGCATAACCAGATGTTTGGGAACTGGATACAAAACAAGCCAAGAAAACACTAAAAAAAAAAAACACTAATCACTTGCTTCCCCACCCATTCCTGTTCCCCCTTCTCCCCAACTCTCCATTTGGTACCTCACATTTCCACTCACACGCTTTCTTAACACTTCATTTCTACAAAGTGACAGGGCAACTATCAGCACTCCCCCTCCTTTCAGTACCTGTCCCCAAAACACTGTGCCTCTGAAATAAAGTTATAGTACTTGCTGGTTCTGCTGAAAATCTCTCTCTCTCTCTCTCTCTCTCTCTCTCTCTCTCTCTCTCTTCTCTCTCTCTCTGGTTCTGCTGAAAATCTCTCTCTCTCTCTCTCTCTCTCTCTCTCTCTCTCTCTCTGGTTCTGCTGAAAATCTCTCTCTCTCTCTCTCTCTCTCTCTCTCTCTCTCTCTCTCTCTCCCTCCCTCCCTCCCTCCCCTCCCACCCCATTTTTTTCTGCCCCAACTTCATGAAGACAGCTGTACAAATTTTAAAATGATAATTGATATGCTGCTCATCATCATTATATGACAGAATCCATTGAGCAGTATATTATTATCTTCCAGCAAATTGTCAGATCAAAAGAATTGATCAAGGCGGACTGCCACAAACTCCTCCCTCCCCCCCCCCCAAAAAAAAAAGAAGCTCCGTAGGTACCAAGCATGCATTTAAGTAGGAAACAAAGGCACTGGGATTTTCACAAAGCAACACGGATACACCTTTTTCACTCAAGACAAAAAAAGGAAAGAAAGAAAAGTTGGCTTTACCTGCAGTTGTAGGTCCGGATCTCTTTGTTGTCTCGCTTGCACTTGATCGCCACGAAGATCATAGTGATAAAGAGGATGCCTGCAATGGAGCCCAGAGCGATAATGAAAATCAGGGACAAGTTCACTGAGCCCATTGACTCTTGGGCGTCCAGAGCGGGAGACAGGTAGATTAGGATGAGAGCAGAGGCGGAGAGAGATGTCTTGCCATGGTCGTGGGCCACCACAATAAGTTCATAGGAACCCTTGGAAGTCTCGCTGAATGTGCGAGTGGTTCTCACTTCACCATTGACTTCGTCGATTTCAAAGAAGCCGCGATCTCCCTCGGTCATGTCATAGGTGACCCGGCCGTTTTCGCCCTCGTCATAGTCCTCTGCTTTCACTACAGTCACCAGATAGCCTATGCCGGAGTTGCGGGGGATGTAGACTTCAGCCGTGCCATTGATCAGTGGCGGGGCCATGATGACTGGGGTATTATCATTGACATCTAGGATGATGACCCTAACTGTGGCGTTACTCTGCAGGGAGGGCAAGCCACCATCCTTGGCCAGCACCTTGAATTCGAATGCCTTGGTCTGCTCGTGGTTGAATGATCGCAGCGCATAGATGTCACCGGAGTTGGGGTTGATGGAGACATAGGTGAAGACAGGCATGTCCCGCACCTGCGATGGCACTATCTGGTAGGAGACACTACCGTTGAGACCTAGGTCGGGGTCTCGGGCAGACACAGAGAGAAGATAGGCGCCAGGAGTGTTGTTCTCCTGCACAATAACCTGGTAATAGGGCTTGGAGAAGTGCGGGTGGTTGTCGTTCTCATCGGTGATTTGCACAGTAAAGGACTTGGCACTCTGCAGCATGGGCACACCGCCGTCGCGCGCCTGGATTGTGAGGTTGTACTGATCATGCTGCTCACGGTCAAGCCGTCCGTCCACCAGGATAGTGGAGAAGCTCTCATACTCTTGCAGCCTAAAAGGCACATTGCCCAGCAAACGGCACTGCACTCGCCCATTGAGGCCGGAATCTCGGTCAGACACCCTCACCAGTGCAATCACGTAGCCTGGAGGGGCGCTCTCGCTCACCTCCACCAGCTCGCTGTTAACCGACAGCAGGTTGATGACCGGCGGGTTGTCATTGGTGTCCAGAATGCTGACAGTGACCTTGCAGTGTGCCGGGATAGAGTTGGGCCCCAGGTCCTTGGCCTGAACGTCCAGTTCGTACACGTGGCCCTCTTCGTAGTCTAGGGCACCAGTGACCGTGACGAGGCCACTGTGTGGATCAATCTGGAAGAGCTCACGAGTGTGGTCATTGACATAGCCATAGAAAGAGTAGACCACCTGTCCATTGGTGCCTTCATCTGGGTCGCTGGCATTGAGGCGGATGACAGGAGTGTTTGGAGGTGAGTTTTCTGGCACACTCACTGAATAGGTGGACTCGCCAAACACCGGGTTATTGTCATTAGAGTCAGTCACCTTAATACTGAGGCCAACAGTGCCCAGGTGCGGCGGGTCGCCGCCGTCCAGAGCAGTGATCCGAAAGCTGTAATGCGACTGCTTCTCACGATCCAGGTTCTTCTCCACTACGAGTTCAGCAAAGCGCGAGCCATCGCCACGCGTCTTGATCTCCAGGCCGAACAGCTCATTAGGTGTGAGCTCGTAGGTCTGCACGCCGAAAGTGCCAGAGTCTGGGTCGTAGGCGCTGTCTAGGGGGATGCGAGTACCTGGGCTGGCCGCCTCTGAGATCTCCAGCTCGATCTGTGCCGTGGGGAAGCTGGGCGCGTTGTCGTTCAGGTCCTTGATCTCCACCTTAATCACGCAGATCTCCATTGAGCTGGACATGACCTCAAGTGAGATAATGCATTTGGGACTCTGGCGGCACAGCAGGTCTCGGTCGATCTTCTGCTTGGTGACCAACAGGCCTGAACTGGGGTTGATGTCCACCAAGTGCGGAGCCGAGTTGGACACCACACGGAAGGCAGAGGCCTGTCGCGGGTCCAGCGCAAAGCCCGCCTCACGGGCGTCCTTGGCCACGTTGGCGATCACCGTCCCGGCGCGCTGCTCCTCTTCTACGGAGTACTTTAGGTTAATGAGGGCGGCTGCTTGAGTCCATAGTACGGCCAACAGCAGCAGCACCGGCAGCAGGAGTGACTCCATGGCTGCGCGGGGCTCTGCCTGGCCTCGCCTCTCCACACCCCTCCGAGGACGGCGCCGCCGGCGCTCCAGCTTTCCGCTGACTTGGGCCGCCTGTTGCGCGCGCCCCGGGGCCCTGGAGGCCTCGGGAGGAGTCCCACCCAGGGCGGCCCGGCGGCGCGCGGGTGATACCCGCGCAGGCTCCAATGCTGAGGTTTCTGTGGACTGGGCGGGGGCTTGCGGGGGGCTCGGGGGCTCCAGGGGGCCGAGGGAGCACCTCGCGGCCCCGAGCCCCCACCCTCCAGCCCGGCTACTCAGTTTTCCCCCTTCAGAGTTAGCCAGGCGCGACTGGCCGCTACGTCGCAGGGCAGCGGGTCGGACGGCGTTCGAGTGGCCGGGTTGATGTGCGACTAAGTCTGGACCGCTCTTGGAGCCAAGGCGGGGAAGGCGGTGGGGATGCAGGGTGTCAGGCACTGCCCGGCCCGCCGCAGCGCACCAGCACTGGGACTGGCGAGCTCCTGGTCTGTGCACCTGGCATACGTAAGACCCCCCCCCCCCCCAGCGCTCCCGGCTCACTGCGAGGATGGATCCGCCTGGAACACGTCTTCCGGGGTCCGGTAGGGAGCCACACTAGCCTTTTTGAGGCGGGCTTGGAACAAGGGGGATCACAGGTGGGAGTTTGAGATGTGTCAAGAGCCGCTGGCGCCCAGGTACCTGGCTGAGTCGGATAGCAGTCCCAGAGTCAGCAAGGGAGGGTAGATGGTAGAGAGGCTGCTGAGAGGAGAGCACGCTCCGCGGTGCAGAGGTTGGCTTTGGAAGACTCGGGGGGGCGCGTCTGTCCAGAATCAGAGATGCATGCAGAGCTCCCACCACAAAGCGGTTGGACTGCGGGCTTTGCGTCTCAGATATCAAAGTTACTAACACACCCAAGCTTCCACGTCAAGTTTGTGAAAACCGGGCGTTGGTAATTTGTCCAAGAAAATCAAAGTCTCAGTCTTTCCAATTGCCCGATGGGGGCCGGGAATGGGGAGGAGGAAAGGGGAAGCGACAACAGTACCGGCCAAGAGAGGCGGGGCAGCCTCTGCGGGTTACCGGGGGCTTCTCTTCCTCCCTGGGTCTGGGCTGGGCTGTCGCTCCAAGGGCCGCCGCCGCCGCCGCCGCCGCAGCCGCCGCCGCCGCCGCCACAGAAGGAAGCCCTCCTAGCTCAGCGGCATGTCGCTGGGGTTCGCCTCAGCATCTGCCAAGGTCGACGGTTTTGTAGCCGCCAAAGTTTACTTGCATGAGAGTCTTGATTCCATCTTCCCGGAGAGGCGCTGGCCCCTCTGCGCTGGGCTCCCTCCCTCTCGGGCGCTCTCGCACTCGGAAGATCTGTCTGGCTTTCTCTTCCTTTCTCAGGTGGTGTTGTGAATGTGCGAGGAGAGGGAGAGTGAGTGTGTGGTGTGGGGAGTCTGAGTGTGGAGTGTGAGCAAGCAGGAGTGGGAGGTTTCGTATCTCAGATGAATCCGCTCAGCTGGAATGCCACAGAAAGCAATGCGCCACGAGCCCGCGCAGGGCTAGGGGCACGAGTGCCAGTGCCCCCTGGGCAAGCCGGGCATGGTGTGCAGGAGCTTTGCTGCCGTCTGAGCCCACTAGTCTGTCTTCCCTACGCACCCGCTGCCGCCGCTACTGCTGCTGCTGCTTCCGATGATGCCGCAAACTACTGGCCAGGGAGTCTGGAGAGAGGCTGAGAGAGCCGGAGCTGCCGAGCTGGGCTACGCCAGGCTCTGACCAATCAGCGCACAGCCCAGCGGGCTCCGGAATTGGGGCGGGGCCATGGCGCGGGGGCCAGGGCTGGGCGGGGCCAGCCGGAAACTTCCACACTGAAAAGACCAAGTGGTATCCCGGCCCCGCAGAGCCCAGGCGGGAATCAGGGGAGGCCTGGCGGGCTGGCCAGGTTGGGGTAAGAGGACAGGGAGGAGCGGGGCATGCTAGCGCTGCGGCCAAACCTTCCCAGGAACTGCGCACCTCTCCTGAGTCTAGAAATTGCAGGATGAGAGGGATTTGATTATCTGGGTGTCTTTATCTCCCTCATATATCTTCATATCTTGAATATCATATTTATATTTCTTTTTCTCTCCCTCCCCACTCCCCCTCTCTCCCTCTCCCCTGCCGTCTTCCTCCCTCCCTCTTTGTCTCATCGTTCTGGGTTTGTCTGCTTCTTTATCTTCCTCTCTTTTCCTTTCTCGGGTAGTGGAAGGAAAAAAAGAAAGGAGAAAGCTCCCTTGAGGTGGCCATTCAGCCGGCTCTTGGCCGATAAGTCTTCACTTCAACTGAGAATCAGGGAAGCCATCCTCCCCGACCCTCAACCCCATCCCTCCTCCCAGGACAGACGCAGCACTTCCCCCACCCCAGTAGGACCCGTGGCCCGATTTGGTTCGCTTTTGTCCTTTGCTTGTTAATCAGATGGGTTCCTTGGTATAGGGACTGAACCTTGAAAAGAGCTTGACACATTTCGTTGCCCCTCACCACACCCTGTTGGAGAATTTAGCTCCCTATAAATAAACTGTATGTTTGAGAAGAGCGGTAGAGCCAACGCCGCAGCGCCACACCAGTGAAGCCCAGAGCCGGGTGGGAGCTGCGGAGCTGGCGCGCGATCTGCCTAGGTCATCTGTTGTTGGAGTCGGCGCTGCTGTGCGGGGCGCCCCATCCTTCCCACGGGGGCCTCGGTCCCAGGGAGCTGCCAGCTCCGCTCCGGCGGTCACAGTGACAGCTAATGCAGGGTTTACGAGAGCTGGGAAGCGAGAGGCTGGCGTGGCTCGGCTGACATCAAACTCCATTTGCCTTCCGGACTGAAGGAGCCCTGGGGTCAGAGGGGGATTCCTCTCCACTTGATTCTGAGGCTCTTAATTAAGGTCACTGGAGGGGAAAATAAAAATCAGGTTGAATAAGTTGTTTATTTGTTTGTTTCTTTAAAATCATAAATTGGTGGTGGAGGGGACCTGCTTCTGAATTCACAATTCTTAGAAGGGTAAACCTCCCTTCTGAGTGAGTCCTCTCATATATTTGGGAGTCTCCGGTAAGCAAACTCTTAATTAACACAGCGACATTGTCCCGAACCTGTGAGCTTAAAATGAGACTCACTTTGCCCTTAAAAGAAAATTAAACAAGAAAAGAAAAAAGGCGTTTAGGCACAATAGGTTTTCTCAAAACTGCCATCTTCTTACAAAGAGCACCCCAGCTGCTTAAAAAAAATTAATCCTCCTAAGAGGAGCTAGTTTACCAGCCTTTACCCTTACAGAGGGAGGGAAAGACAGATTCTTCCCACTGAGACAGATTATCAGGAATAAGTTTGATTTGGCGGAGACCTAGGGAAGAGTGCAAGGTGCCTAGTCTGCTTTCCTCGTGGAGAAAGAGCATTTCACTCTTTTCCATTAGGATGCAATTCACCCCAGAACATCACGGGGAAAATCAAAGCATTTGCAGTGAGTATCATTTAATTTTGGTAATTTAGAGATGCGGATGGACTGGCAGAGTTGTGGCTGGAGGGTGTCTGGTGCCCTGTCCGGTTTTCTGCAGACCCTGTTGGAAAAATGGGCAAGTAGTGGAGGAGACTGACAACATGGCAGGCAGCAAGGGCGCACCTCGCAGACTTCACAAAGAGAAGGGCTCCCTTTGATTTATCACAGTTATTTACCTTTCATGTCAGCAAGTGGGAATGAAGTGCATTTTGTTCTAATTAAAAAGGCCTAAAAAGGCATTTGAAATGCTATCTGATCACGAGATGTGACTCGGGCGTTTGACAGCTTTCTAAAATATTGCTTGGACTATTTAAACAGAACAATTAGCAACATGCTAAAATGTTTGCATGCTATGCTTAGAGGCTTTTAGCTGTAAACTTTAAGGCGATCTGTTCCCCTTTAAGTTAAAAAAGAATGATGCTGCTTCCTTGTGGCGAAGGCTGTCAGGAACCCGCTGATCAATAAAAGTAAACTGGCGCCTCCACGGCTTGATTGAGCGGGAGCAAAGAGTCTGAGAAGTAGTCTTGGCCATTAACAATCCCCCAGGTAATGAGAAATGGAAGAATTACTCAGGTAAAATGATTAACATTGCCGTGGCATCTGAAAAGATGCACACACGATAAGAAGGCTGCGGACCTTTTACCTTGGGGAGTGCTAATAGAATGTCTATATTCCGCTGTCTTTTAAAGATAAATAGGAGAATTCAATTCATGTACAATGTCATTACCACTGTAATTGCAATCACATTGTAAAGACATGTTCAGCATTTGCAAAGACAAACGTGCTCTTAGATAAAGAGATGGCAGCGGGCTCCCTGCTTCTTGCTGGCTGTTCACATTGGAGTAGCCCCTGCTTTCCTCGCAGAGCACCCCAAGTGCTTCCAACTATAATAAACCGCTTTTATAGAAAAGAGACGTTGAGGGAGGCAGGGGTATGTGCCCTGCTTCCCTTCTTTACCACAGGCTCAGAGTGATAGTTATACCTCCCCTCTAAAAAGGCAGCTCTTCCACCTACCCCCCCCCCCAATCTATTTGTACTGATAATACTAACACTGCTCTCAGAATGTATTCTTTTTTTTCTAAGAGGCACACTTGGTTATTATACTCCAAGAGCTATAATGCTATTGAGTAAATGAGTGGCTGAAAACACCTTGATGATCAGGAATTTGTTAATAAACTGAATAAAATTGTTCTGCATGTAGATAATAAAAAGAAAAAGAAAGTTCTTAGTTTTAGCTTCTTTTTACTTCAATCCTGAAGGGAGCCCCGCCTCCTCAGCCTCTTATGAGACACAAGAGGGACATCTAGTGACCGTTCTCGGTATTTTTTATTCAACCTTTGCTGAGAAACATCAGACCCTGGGTATCAACTACAGTGCTATAGAAGACCAAAATGAGGATAAGAGTAAGCTAAAATAGTTTTGTTCAAAAAATTAAAACTGATGGTAAGAACTAACATACCAGAATATGAGAACTCTAGTATTGACAAGTTTAAGGGGGCTTTCTTTATTTCTTTTAATTTATTTTTATTGTTTAAAGTATTACATATAGTGGTAATATGTCTCCTTTTCCCCCCCATTGACCCCTCATCTCCTCTACCCCTCAGCACATGCCCTCACCCCCCAGTGTCTTTGTCCATTGGTTATGCTTATGTGTTCTTTAAAATGTTTGCTTCAAGCTCCAAAGAAATTAGCCTTCAAATAACTATTCTCTCTCTCCGTCTACATCTCCCCCTCCCCATTCTGACGCCCCACTCCTCTGCCCTTGCTACAGAAAAATGGATCATTTAGCTTGGCTTTTGTTGCATATCCTGGGAATTCCACTTTATGCAACCAAATTGACCAGCTGCCTGATGAGGTTCTCTTAGAAAAGCTTGATTTTAAGAAATAACCAAAGTCAAACTTTTCTAGCCTGCATATCTGATTTTCTTACTTAGGTTATAATTTCTTGAGTAGAGAAAATAAAAGAATGAAAATGGAAGAAACAGCAAAAACTTGAAAAGTGTCATTACTAAAGTCATCATCTCATTTAATCTTTACAATATCCCTGGGAGGTAAAGAAACTTTGCAGATGTGGAAGTCTACTTCAGAGCAGTTTAATGATTTGCCAAGATGACCTCATTACATAAAACTCAACCATTTCCCCTGTGAAATCAACAAGTGCTGGCTACGTGCCCAGCATTGTGTTAGGGACTGGAAATGTTTTTTAAAAGACCGTCTTTGCCCTTGTGAAGTTTTACTTTTAGTTGATTAATTTAATAGCAGTATATAATTTTGTATTCTATAGATTTTGCTGGAGTAGGAACCATGTTGATAACTTCCTGAAATTCTGTTCCCATCTACCCAAAGTGATTGCCCAATTTATACCACTCCCCCTCCCCCCATACACACACACATGCACACACTCAGACATCACATGAAAAGGCATTAAAAGCAACAGCTAGGAATGTAGACCTGCTGAGCAGGGGTGGGGTGCAGTTTCCACCATCCTGGATGCTGTTTCTGACCCTTTTGAAATACCAGGAAAACTAGGGAAAAGGGCCAAGAAAAGTCTTTGAAAATCCTTGTATTTTTTTCTCTCTCTTCCTCATAAACCCCTCCCATTCCCAACTTGTGAAAGAGAATAACACTGACAACTAGGGAGCTGCATCAGAAAAGCAAAGAGTAAAGAAAGTGTTCCTTAAGGACTAAAATTGTTCTTCATGGCACTGATGCTTGCCTTTTCTAAGAAAGATAAGAAAGGTAAGGGACTGGGGTGAAAAGAGAAAGCTATTAATCAGCCCAAGCTTTCCCATTTTGACAAGGTCCATATCCCTGAATAAATTATTCCAAACCTCCTCTGGGCTTATCTCCTCCCTATAGGAATGGCACTTCCCAGGAGGCCAAACCCCTGCTGCTGCAAAATTCATAAATATCCCTAAATAAGCATACATCACGGGGACCATTTAATTAGCAAAGACTAAATCAACAAATACACTTCAATAAAGGACACTGCTCTCTAACACGTTCTTTACTACCCTGAAGCGACTACCTGTGATGTTTGACAGCACCATTTGGGCTCTGGGTGTTATTGCCTTAACCTTTTCCTGTGAATTTCTCTCCAAGTGGATCCCAAATGCTAGTCTCCTAGGTGCAAACTCATACCAACTGTTATTGTTCCCCACCACCACACTTCAGAAAACAAAAAGCTCCCTTCAAAGGCACTCTGATCAGATTATGCCCAACCATTCCGCTACCACTTCCTGTCTCTCTCATCCCAAGGAGGCATGTAAAAGTGACATTCCACTGTCTCCAGAGGAAATGCTTTTTTGATAACTTGGAGAAAATAAAAACAAACATCAAATAAGAGAACTCAAAAACCAATTTAATTATAAAGTGCATCTACTTTTAAAAATTATATAATTATAAATTTAAAAAACTAGGCCTTTTTTTAGGCCAATCCATTTATTTTCACTGTTACCCCCAAACTCTAGTGCTTAAACCTAGTAAATAGATCTTAGGGACCTCAGTACCATGTGTAAATTCCTTAGATTAGA